TTCAGAATGTCAACAAAACAGCTGCAATTTTTTTTGCAATTACAGAGTGGTATTCAGTTAACAGAACAATTATCTTCGTATAAGCTGCATCAGAGACAACTGAAGATGGAACAAAAACCCAAAACAAAAAAAGAAAACCAAAAAAAAAAAAAAAAACTACCGTCCCCATATATAACTAATTTGTGCTGTGCACCAAGAACCTGCTTTAAATTTCCATGCCAATTTACAACCCCCAGACTGTGCCAGGCAAGGTTAGTGGCTATTGAAAATACCACCAGGACAGGGCTATCTAAAGACACATTCGGTAGTGTGTTAACTATACAAAAAAAGACACTGTACAGTTTAAAAACAAATCTTACACAGCCTTACATTTCAATTTATTTTCTTTAAAAGGTGTGAGTTGTGTACAGGGGGGTTAAATGCTTTATAGACAAAAAACAAAACAAAACAAAACTGCGCTAGAACCAACTTATTCATCATCATCATCTTCATCTTCCTCTTCTTCCTCCTCTTCCTCATCCTCTTCATCGTCCTCATCATCTTCCTCTTCCTTCTTTTTCTTGCTCTTTTCTGCCTTGACCACCCCCTTTTTCGCTGCATCGGGTTTCCCTTTTGCTCTGTAAGCAGCAATATCCTTTTCATACTTCTCCTTCAGCTTGGCAGCCTTCTTTTCATAGGGCCTCTTGTCATCTGCAGCAGTGTTGTTCCACATATCTCCCAGTTTCTTTGCAACATCACCAATGGACAAGCCTGGGTGTGCTCTTTCGATGTTTGGGCGATACTCAGAAAGAACAGAACAAGAAGGCCGAAGGAGGCCTCTTGGGTGCATTGGGGTCCTTGAACTTCATTTTTGTCTCCCCTTTGGGGGGGATGTAGGTTTTCATTTCTCTTTCATAACGAGCCTTGTCCGCCTTTGCCATGTCTTCAAATTTCCCCTTTTCTTTAGCAGACATGGTCTTCCACCTTTCTGAGCATTTCTTGGAGAACTCTGAGAAGTTGACAGAAGCATCCGGATGCTTCTTCTTGTGTTCCTCCCGGCAAGTTTGCACAAAGAATGTATATGAGGACATTTTGCCTCTCGGCTTTTTAGGATCTCCTTTGCCCATGTTCAGTTGATTTTCGTCCGCGAGGCACAGAGTCGCCCAGTGCCGGTCGGCTCGCACTTGCCCTGGCGCTGTCTCTATGGAGCTCAATGTACTGCAATGGCTGTGAGAGCGGGAGCCAGATACAGCCTCCTCACTCTTTCCGCTCTGTAACATTCCAGTATTGACACTTCTTGAAGGATTTTCCTGTAATGAATATTGAATGTCCGTTATCGTCTCTTTTTGACTACCTTTAGTTTGATGTCTATTTTGTTAGATATTACACCAGCTTGCTTCTTAGGTTCATTTGATTGAAAAGTCTTTTTCCAAGCCTTTAATCTGAGGTACTGTCTGTCTTTGAAGTTGAGGTGGGTTTCCTGTATGCAGCAGATGGATGGATACTATTTTTGTATCTATTCTGTTAGCCTATGTCTTTTTATAGGTAAGTTGAGTCCATTGATATCAATGACCAGTGATTGTTGATTCCTGTTATTTTTTTGGTGGTGGTGGTGTGTTTCCCTTTTTAAGGATTTGCTAGTGTGGGATTATCTATTCTATTATCTATGCTTTCCTGGGCACCTCTAACCTCCTTGGGTTGGAGTTTTCCTTCTAGTGCTTTTTGTAGGGCTAGATTTGTGGATAGGTATTGTTTAAATCTGATTTTGTCATAGGATATCTTGTTTTCTCCATCTATGGTGATTGAAAGTTTTACTGGGTATAGTAATTTGGGTTGTCCTCCATGGTCTTATAGAATCTGAGAGTCTCCATACAGAAATCGGTGTTATTCTGATGGGTCTGCCTTTATGTGTTACTTGACCTTTTTCCTTTGTAGCTCTTAATATTCTTTCTGTATTTTGTGTCTTGATTATTATGTGGCGAGAGGAAAAAATTATTTTTTGGTCCAATCTATTTGGTGTTCTGTAAGCTTATATCTTCATTGGCATTTCCTTCTTTAGGTTGGGAAAGTTTTCTTCTGTTATTTTGTTGAATATATTTTCTGTGCCTTTGAGCTGATATTTTTCTTCTATTCCTGTTACTCTTAGGTTTGGTCTTTTTTATGATATCCCAGATTTCCTGGATGTTTTTGTCTTATGACTTTGTTGACTTCATTGGTTTTTTGTTTGTTTGTTTGTTTGTTTAATCAATGAATCTATTTCCTCTATCACATCTTCAATGCCTGAAATTTTTCATCTCTTGCATTCAGTTGGTTATGCTTGCATTTGTAGTTCCTATTCATTTACCCAGATTTTCCATTTCCAGAATTCCCTCAGTTTGTGTATTCTTTATTGCCTCTGTTTCAATTTTAAGTCTTGAACTTGTTTAATTATTTTTTTTTCTTGGTTTTCTTTACAGGATTTATTGATTTCTTCCAATTTTTTTTTTTTTTTTTTTTTTTTTTTTTTTTACTTTTTCTCCATTTCTTTAAGGGAATTTTTTCTTTAAAGGCTTCTGTCATCTTCATAAAGTTATTGTTAAGGTTGTTTTCCTCTTCGTTGGGATGTTCAGGTTCTGGTGTTGCCATATTGCTCTTTAGGTTGTTGAATGTATTTTTGCATTGGCATCTACCCATCTCATCATACAGTCAGTGTAGGCAATGTCGGACTTTTGATCCGATCCTTGCAGACAGTGCTTGTGTCACAAGTATCCTCAGTTGGTCTGATCAGTGTGGTTGTTGTCTGTGTCTCAGGGAGCCATTTTTGATCAGCAGTCTTAGTCCTCTCTGCAGTTGATGTCTGTGTTTCAGGGAGCTGCTGAGGTCATGTGGGATGGGTGGGTTGGGGATCGGAGTGAGACTTGTAGATTACAGGGTTTGGGGGTGCATGTAGCCTGCCTGCAGGAGTCTTTTCTGCTGACTGGCTAGTAAGGCTCATGATCTTAGATTTTTTTTTTACCATATGACAACAAAGATTGAGAACCACTATTTGTCATACCTAGATAAGTGAATTAGTCAGTTTGTGGGTGGGTGCTGAAAGTCCAAACAGCATGTCACTAGTTTTGGTGAGGGCCCCTACCCTTCATCACATCACAGTGAATGGTAGCATAATGGTAGAAATATATCAAGAGGGAAATAGTTTATAGAAAGATAGGAAATGACAGAGTAATTTAGGAGTTGGGCTCTGGCTTTGATAAGAACTAACTCAGGGATCCTATGAGAACTGCTGTATTCTCTTCCCAGGACAACCTCCCAGTAGCTTCCAGCAGAGGTACTACTACTTTATATCCTCCCACTGGGGAACAAAGCTTCCAACCCATGAACTATTTATTGAGGGATACTCTCAGACCATATTTAAACAATAGTATTAGGTATAAAAGTTTAAATATGATAGAGTTCTACAGGGGCTCGGGAAATGACCATTGGTAGGGAAACATAAGAGCCTGAGTTCAGATCCTAGTGGAATAGAAACAGGCAGATCTCTGCAGCTCATTGGCTGTCCAGCCTAGTGGAATCAGTAAGCTTCAGGTTCAGGGAGAGACCATGTTTCAAAAACCATAAGTGAAAAACAGTTGAAGAACGGTACCTGCTGTCTGTCTCAGGACTCCATGTGTGTACACATGCATGCATACAAACAAGATACAGCTCCTAGACAGTTTTGTAGGCTAATGGTAATAATGAGTATCTGTCATGTGTTTATTGAGCACCTGGTGTTAGGAATTCTAAACCCTTTCATTTGATAGTCACCATAACAATATGTGTGTCGTGTGAAGAAATGAAGAAACTACAGTTGAGTAATTAGTGCCAGCTCACACAGCTAATAAGTTACAGTCATGACTTGTACCCATATTTAGCTTCCAGAGAAAAACATGGCCAACAGGTAGATTTGCCATGTTAATCTTAAATTTCAGAGCTTCTCATTTGTGAATGCAGGGGTTGAAATGTTCAAGGTAGAATTGGAAAGCTGTATTGTAACTAGAAATCATTTCTAGATAAGCATTTTGGAAAATGCTGATGACTTCTTGTAGTTTATTTTGTTATTGTAAACAAATATTCATTTTTGTAATTAAACAATATGTGTCTCTGAAAAATGGGAAGCTGAGCCATCAGAGAAGACTGTGAAAGAAAATAGCATACTGGTGTTTATCTGTAACCCCAGCACTCAGGAGGCAGAGGCTAGAAGACTGCAAGTTGCCAGACAGCCTGAGCTACATAGTGAGTTTCAGCCCAATCTGAGTTACAGTGTGAAACCCTGCCTCAACAACAGCAACAGAATCTTAAAAATAGCATGCTTAAAAATAATTTCATCTAGTTTCATGTTGTTTAATCATGTTATAAGGAGAAGAATGACCATTTCTTGGAATGTTCTAAGGAATTTGGACCTTACCCTCTCTGAATGAAGTTTTCAACCTCAGTGGTACTTAAGAACTCTTGGGAAGCTCTTGGGAAGATCTGACTAATATTTATTTTCAAAAATCCCAGAAATGGTTCAGATACATAACTAGGAATGGTATATGGAACAAAAAGCTATAGAATCTGGAGCAAAGAAATGAAATAATAAATGTGTATTTTTAAGGATTACATGGATGGAAAGAGAAGCAGCATGGTCCAGACCAATGATCACATAATAATTCATTATTACTTCTCCATAAATCCTATGCTGAAACCTATCCTAGGAATATATGTTTGTCATTGCTTTTGTTTCTCTGTTGTTTATTTCACTAGAACAGATTTCCGGGAGTAATTCTGTTGAGTCAAAAGAAATGACTAGTTTGTCCTCTTTAAATTATTGTAATGGATATAACCAGTTTCTAGTTTTCAGTATGCCAAAAAGATATTTAGAATAATTTTGATAGGTTTGAGAAAAAAAGAACTATTAGAATTTTTATTACTTTAATATTATTTTGAAATTGGCGATAAATTATCACAATGATGTTTATATTGTGTTTACAGTATTATTTCATAACTGAATTTATCTTTAATAGATTGATGAACTCCCAGAGGGAGCTGTGAAGCCTCCAGCCAACAAGTACCCTATCTTCTTTTTTGGTACCCATGAAACGTAAGTTAACAAAATAACTTAAAGTTTCAGCAACTGTAATTTGACTCTACTAGATTACATACTTATACATGATCTATACTATTTTATATGTTGTTAAGTCATTATATCCACTTATAAAGTAACCAAACTTAAAACATTTTTATTACTGTAAGTTATATTAGTTATTTTTGCATGTTGTAGCAAAAAACACAACAGAAGCAACTTTAGGAATAAAATGCTTATTTTGTCTCATGGCTTCAGGGGTTTTCAGTCTATCATAGCAAGGTATGGTGGGATCTGTGTCAGCAAGAATATTTGATGATGGGTTTTTACATGGTAAACTAGTAGGACATGTGGAAAAAGGCAAACCAGAGGTAGACATGAGTATAGATTAAAAGGTATGTTCCTAATGACCTGTCATTCAGGCCTCACCTCATAAGACTCCGTAACTTTCCAAATTAGCATCACCATCTGGAAACTAAATGTTCAAGTGTATGAGCAAGGGAGAGAGGGGGCATTTCAAATTCAAACCATAAAATAAGCTTATTCATAGAAGACTTGATTACTGAAAGTACATCTTTGCTTTGAATGCTGTTTCTGTTTCTATTTTAAGTAACGGTTACCAACCCAAGGTCTCCTTTCAGGACACTTGAAAAGTCCTAGAGTGATTGACTTTACCAGTTCCAGTAACCCCTTTTGGAACTCTGTATATGTCCCCTTTAGAGAAGCTTCTTTCACTTATTTTTTATAGAACAAAGTTATGTTCTTTCAAGCTCTTCCAACTTTAGCCCTATAACAAATGAACTGCCTTTTAAAGGTTTTCTAATTAGGTTTGTTATATATAGATCCAAGTAATATAGACATTTATTTATTTCTTTTGCAATAATACAGAAGTGGGCACAGGTCAGGATGGATAGACAGATTTGCTCTAAGAACTCCACACCCTCTCTCAGACCCTACCATTCCATGTATGCTTTTTTGTGAAAGCCTTGCTGTGTAGACCAGATTGGCCTTGAACTCCTAAGTGCAGAGGTTAAAGACATTTGCCTTCTCACCCAGCTTGTTTGCTTATTTCTAAATATTAACATGCTTCCATTGTACATATGCATCTTCTAGGGAAAGGGAAGGAGAGAGAAAGAGTGAAAAACAAGGATGCCTTGTATGGAAATGGCAAGAAAGTCCATAGATCACTTCTGCTTGCATTTATTCCATTGACAAGAATTTGGTCATGGGGCCACACACAGCTATGAAGAAGCTGTTCTAAAATATAAGAGAAGTAATCTGTTAATGAAAAAAAGGAGAGAATACATTAGGGGATAATTGGCAGTTGTGCCACACCCTGACTATATCATTTATTTTCATTTAAATGTTAGCAGAGTTAGCTTGCTACTCCTCCCATTCTAACTTCTCTTCATTCAGGTCTTGAAAGCACTGGGATAAAGTCCTGAAGACAGAGTTATTTTCTTATGTGAGAAATAGTGTATATCTTTCAGGAAATAAATATTTTGTAAGGGCTTTTTGGTATTGTTTTGAGTTTAGTTTTTTGGCACAGTTTTTTTGTTGTTTGTGGGGAGTTTTCGTGTCTGTGTGTGTGTGCGCTCCTGCATGCGTGCATCCATATGTGTGTGTTGCTGGGCTAGCTGCAAGTCCTCAAGGAGGCAAGAACTCTACAACTAAGCTAAACCCAAGTCCTATTTTTATATAATAAACAGTGTATATGCTGTATCTTAGGTTGCTAGAAAGCTTAGAAGTAAATGTTTTACCTATAAATACATAATGTTTTGTGATATGTATTTTATCTCACTCCTGACTTTATTTTATGTGCATACCATTGTTCTGATATTTCCTTAGAATAACCTGTTCCAAATTATCTGGTTACATTTTTGGGACAGAAGTTAATTAAAAAAAAAAAATCACACTTCTACTGAATGCACCATTTACTAACATTATGTATTTACTTTTATTCCCTTGGTAAGTATTTGTTTTGTAAGGCATTCTGTAAGTCACTGGAAGTAGAAAGGTGCCCTTAATGACCTGCCAGTTGGCACATACAGACTTTAGGCAGCTTAACCTAGTTATTTTCTCTGGATATATGGATCGATGATTGTAGAAACTCAAAAGCCAGAGTAATAATTCCTGCCAAGTTTCCTTGAAAGTGAACTAGCCATATACAGTATTCTTTTTTCCCTCATGTTCATCTTGTTCTTCAAATAAGATTTCAACATACCTACCCCTCAAATTTTATTCTTGGTTTTGTGCATATTCATTTTCCCTCCCCCACTCTCCCTGGACCCCCATCTCCTTCCCTATTACTCAACTTTGTGTCTTTTCTTTTTAAACCATCAAGACCAATTTGTGCTGGCCAAATATTCTGAATGTGTGGTGCCTTAGTTAGGGTTTCTATTGCTGTGAAGAGGTACTTTTATAAAGGAAGAATATTTAACTAGGGTGGCTTACGTTTTCAGAGGTTTAATCCATTATTGTCATGGTGTGAGATGGTGGTGTGCGGGCCAACACAGTGTTGGAGAAGTCCCTAAACACCACATTGGGTGTGGCTTGAGCATATGTGAGACCTCAAAGCCTGCCTCCACAGTGACACACTTCCTCCAACAAGGCTATGTCTACTCCAACAAAGCTACACCGCATAATGGGAGCTACACTCCCATTAGGGGCCATTTTCTTTAAAACCAACACATGTGGTCTTCCTGGATTATGGTTGACTTTCAGGTTACATTCTTAGATAGAACTGTCTTTCCTTCTCCCTTATAGACAGGATCTCACATAGCCCAGAATGGGCTCAAACTCCTGCCTTCACCTCCCATGTGCATTATAAGTGTGTACCAACACACAGTATAAATAGAGTTGTTAGTTTATTTTTATCAGCTGGACAGTGTAAAAGATCATTGCTATACCCAGTCAGAAAATGAAATGTATGAATTATTTTAGAATGTTGACTGAAAGGTTTCAGTATTATCTTTTGCTGATTTCTGAATTCCTGTCTCTAGCTCATAGTTTTCTTTACTCTCCAGAATCATCTTTCTAATTCCCTATTTGATGTCTTCTTTTGATTGTCTTAACTGGGACTTCCGATTTTACACCTAAAAATGAGCTTCACCCCAGATCTTTTCCTTCAAAAGAAAAACATATCAGTGAATAACAACTCCAGCTTTCTTATTTCTCATTCTGAAACCCTAAAGATCGCCTCAATCCAGTTTCTCCATCAAAAGTTCCTTCCTAAGAATGAATTCTGGATTTGACTATTTCTTCACCAACTACACCGTGGCCTAAATTGCCATCATTACTTTGGCTCAGTAACCTTCTATTACTTCTTGCTTACATCCGAGTACCTAACCTTCACTTGGTTTCCAGCATAACAGCCAAATGATGCTACTAACACATCTCAGAATCTTTTGTGGCTTCCCATGTTAATACCTTTGCAGTGAGCTCCAAGGCCCTAAATAATCTTTTGCTAACCTGTTATCTCTCTAACCTTATCCATACTAGCTTACTCCTTTTACTCTAGCTGCATTGGCCTCTTTTGTGTTTCTCAGACACATAATTCTTGCCCGGGTAACAACATAGATGGTTCCTTCACCTTGTTTACTTGGATGTTTCCTTTCCAGTGATGCCTTCCCTTCATCTTTAGAGCTAAAATCTATCCATCTGGGATAGCTAATTTGAATTGCCATCTAGTCTCACCAGGGAAAGAGTTTCAATGAGAGATTATCTAGAGTAAGTTGGCTTGTGGGTATGATTGTGAAGGGTTTTCTGAACTGGTTATTTGAGCTAGAAAGGCCTACCTACTGTGAGAGCATCATTCCCTAAGATAGATGGAGTCTGACTATATGAGTGGAGTGATTTGAGCATCATTGTGCATGCATTAATCCATTGCTCTCTGCTCTTCACTGTGGATGTGATGTATCTAGCTGCTTCAGATACCTTGACTTCCCTACAATGATGGATGATAACCTCAATTGTAAGTCAAATAAACCCTTCCTTCCTTAAGTTGCTTTGTCAGGATGTTTCATCACAGCAACAGGAAAGAAACTAAGACACCATCCTTCTTTGAATACAAGAAATATATATTTTGTTCACATTGTGATAGTTGTACTGTCAGCACCTGTGCTTCCTGAAGGCAGCTGTGGCTGTGCCATATTCTCTGTGAAATTCCCAACACCATTGCAACAGTGCCTGACCAATTATAGTGTCTAACTGGTACATAAACTTAATTTGAAATGTCTTGAGGATGTCAACCAAAGCGAGCCTCAGTAGTTTCATTCACTAGATTAAGATCACAAATAATCTGCTAATGATTCTTTTTTAGAGTGCTCCAGTCTGTTAGCTACAGAATTTAACTACTTTTTAATGCTTACAGTTAATTTAGTTAAATATTTAAATTAGATATGATTCTGTTTACTTTGCTACTTCTGGGTTGCCCCCCTACCCAATTTACAGAAATAATACTAACTATTCCAAAGTAGTATATAGAATTAAATCAGTTTTTATTTCAGTATTTAAATTCCTATTATATGTCTCACAAGACCTTACCTACAGTAGATTGCCATAAATACTAGTTTAAAATGATGATTGAAGCAATCAAAGTAAATAACTCTAATTCTACCTGTGTAATTAGAAATCAATTTTAAACAAAGCAATATTAATGTAAAGTCAAAATTGTACAGTCCAGAGTTGCTGGCTTTACATACTCAGATACCCATTTTTATTGCTTTGAAATATGTTTCTAAAGCATCTTGTGACATGTGCTCAACCCACAGGGTTATATATACTTTAAATATGTTTATTGTAATGTGCTTTGACATCATATTTGATCCTGATGTTTAAAATACCTTGTATTTGAAGGTCAGCGTATCAGTTCTATTTCTGATCTATCTCTGCAGTGCATTTCTAGGTCCTAAAGACCTTTTCCCATATAAGGAATACAAAGACAAGTTTGGAAAGTCAAACAAACGGAAAGGATTTAATGAAGGATTATGGGAAATTGAAAATAACCCAGGAGTGAAATTTACTGGGTACCAGGTAATAGTTTGCATCACAGTCTCTTGTACTCTTATTCCTTGCTTTTAACTCTTATGTGTCTTTGTAAAATGTCCTTACCTTCCATTCATTTGAAGTCACAGTTCTTCTTTGGCAATAACAACATTATTTTGATTATCTACCAACTCTTGCCCAGAAGAGTCTGAGTTAAGTGACCATTGAAAAATTGACTTTGGCAACCATTTGGTTCATTAATTGAATCAAAATTTCACATGCTACTGAGGTTAGCTTCAATTTTTGACTACAAGCAACCCTCCTACCTCAGCCTCTCAAGTAGCAGGAATTAGAAATGTGTGCCACTATGCCTGGCTGTCATAGTCCTTTATTTTGAAAATGTTAAAAAGTAGGCCAAAGCCTTTGAAATTGAGACAGAGTCATTGTTTCCCCAGTTTGTGTTCTTTTTCAAATTGTAATTGGCTAAAAAATTTTTTCCTTAGACAATTCAGCAACAGAGCTCTTCAGAAACTGAGGGAGAAGGTGGAAATACAGCAGATGCAAGCAGTGAAGAAGAAGGTGGTAGAGTAGAAGACGGAAAAGGCAAAAGGAAGAATGAAAAGGGAGGCTCAAAACGGAAAAAGTCCTACACTTCAAAGGTCACTGAAAACCTCCCTCCTGCTAGTAATGTTTCATGCATATTCACTAAAGGCTTTCAAATTGGGTGGGAGGTATGGCTCCTTGGCAAAGTGCTTGCCTAGAACATGTGATTCCGCCCTACCCCCCCCCCCCCCCAGCAATAGTATACCAGAGAGAAAGACAGAAAGCCTGAGGTATTAGGGAAGCTGCTACTGACTCTGCAAGGCTAATCTGCCCTGAAAGTACTACATGCTTGAAGAAGGAAGGTTAAGCATGCCAGACACTGAGTTGAACTAGGTGCACAGAAGTAAGGAAATACAACTCCATAAAAGGGGAAAGGGGGTATACAATAAACAAGTAAATAATGTAAATTGTGAAAGGCGTTAAGAAGCGAATGAAAACACAGTAGAAAAGTGAAGGTGAAGTTTATGCTGAGACTTGAAAGAAGGGTATGGGGAGGGAGCCATGTGTGGCAGAACGAAAGAAGCTGCAGGAAAACTGAGAAGGGGAAGGTCTGACTCAGCATAGGTGTCTCTAGATCTTTACCCAGGTAAAGGCTAAACAGTGCAGACTTGTAAGCTGTGTTAATGAGTTTGGATTTTATTCCAAATGTAGCAGCAGTGGCAGTGGTGGGTTTACAAATGGAAAGACTAGATTTGTTATATAGTTAGATATGCAGTCAAAAAAAAAAAAAAACTCATGAGATTTGTGAAAATTTAGCAACTGAACATGAGATAAATGGATCCTTGAAGACCTAATACTGGTTCAGGATTCAGTTGAGGCTGTCACATGATTGAATACTTGAAATTATTTCTATTTCAATTCTTGTATTTATTGATTGAGAAAACAAGTACCAAGAGCTTCTCAGACTATTAAAATTTTACTTTGGTAATTGTTAAAAACCCACCTTACTGACATATAGGTAAAATTGTATCTATGTATTGTTATTTCCTATACCTACTTGTGTTACATACTGTGTACCTTGTTGATTACTAACATGATTTCAGGAGCTGGAGAGATGGTTCAGTAGGTAAAATGCTTACTGCACAAGCATTAGGACCAAGTTTAGATAACCTAGCCCTCCACCTGTGCCTGTAACCCTGAGCTGGTAGGGTAGGTGACACAGGATTGGTCCCTGGAAGGGGCTTTTTAGTCAGCCAGGCTAACCCAGTTAGGGAACTCCAGGTTCAATAAGAGACCCTACCTAAAAATGTGAGATCAATTCAAGCCCTTTGAGACTATCTGTGTTTTGTATACATATAGGCAGCTCTAAATAGTGGGAGGGGTAAGGGTGAGACACACTCGCACACATATGCACATATACCACAATAAGGAAACAAAAATGATTGCTTTTGATGGGTATAAAGTTTATAAATGATACGAAAAATAAGAATTTCCCCTCTCAACCTGTTTCTTCCATTGCAGTTATTTTTAACATGAATTTCTTTTAGAATTTGTGCTCCATTTAAATATACATCCCTTTGAGTTATTTTTACTTAATTGATTGCCTACTGAACTTGTATGGGATGTGTTTGCAACCCTAAATTGTATAAAAACTACACAAGACTTAACAATGGCTATGTTGCCTTGAAATGTCACTATTTCATTGCATGTCTCAAAGATCAACAGTACCAAGAGTCATAGTTAGGACAGAGTTAACATTTTACAGCAGTGAAGGTGAGGGCTAAAGTTTATCTGTTTAAAGGATGATTTAATTTTAATTAAATAGAAATTAATTAAATAGAATGCAACTTTCATGATCACTTAAGAAGTATATTTAATTATTTTGCTCTTGCTGGTTTTGCACAATGCTAGTAATTAAACTCAAGACATTGTGCATACTAGACAAGAACTCTACCACCTGAGCTAGTACCCAGCCCAGAATTCTTACTTTTTTATTATACATTTGTGTGTTGAAGTGGAGGTAGGGTCCTTGGGGTTTTTTGTTTGTTTGGTTTTTGTTTGTTTGTTTGGTTGGTTTTTGTTTGTTTTTGTTTTCCTTGTAAAGGGTCTATCTCTGTAATCCAGGCTAGCCTGAAACTCAATTTATATCAGACTAGCCTTGAACTCATGGTAGTCTTCCTGCCTCAAACTCCCAAAAGATGACATTACAGGTATGAGCCAAGAAACCCAGACTCTAGCTTTTTAATGTTAATATCACATAGTGAGTCTCAAGCTTTCGCATGCATCAAACTTCTGTGAAATGCTGTTGACATGCCTTAAGACCCCCAGAACTGCTGTTTGAGAACTTTTGGGAAAGGACAGGGAATCCAATTTATAAGTCTGCTGATACGGAAATGACATTTGGAGAACCACTTCCTACTATAACCCTGTTATTCTGTCTCGATTCCCAGTGTTTTCTTTTTGTTGAATATGGTGAATTTCTTTTAAAGTTGAGTAGTCTGCCTTTGCACTTAAAAACTAGTCTATAAACCTGTAACATCCCAGTTAGGTAAAGGGATTACCGCACATCTCTATTTACCTAATTTCATTTGCCTGTGAGAGGGAAAAAAACTCAATAAAATCAAAACAAAAAGCCAAAGTACAGCAGATCTGAGGAAAACTACATGTCTTTTATCAGCAGGTGTATAGCTGATTCATGTTAAGCAAATACTATCAGATACTGGGAAAATGTAGATTAAAAGTATTTTATAGGCAGACAATTAACAGTTAAGACTTATTAGATCTTTACAACAAATTAAACTAGTAGAGATGCTAAAAAGAGCAATAATTTTAGTTAACAAAGCAACAGACATAAAACCAAGTCAGGACCACACTGATAAAACAGGTGATAAACACCAATTTAAAAGAAACTTACAGGAATTATGATTTGAAGAGCTTTACAAAGTTAGTTTGGCAGCCACATTTCCTGCTAAAATACTAAATATTGTTACTCATTAGTAGAAGTCCAATAATGCCTAGTTCCCAGTATAGTGGAACTTGGTATTTGGTATTTGTATTATGCCAAGTGCTGAGAAGCATAAACTCAGGTTACTCACAAACACCCTACACAGGCAATGTATATTATGATGTTGCACATTAGGCTAAGAGTGGCAGGTCAGGACTATTGAGGATAACTGGATAATACAGTTAGCACATTTCAACTGTTACATAATATTTACTAGAGTGAAAACGTTACTTTTATACTGTTATATGGGGTCTTTAGCTGAACATGCTCCAAACTTTGTAAATAAATCTTTTTAATCTAAAAGGTAAAATTGATAACATTTTAAGCTAACATTTTGGATATGGTTGGTAGTTTTAATCAAGTAAAACAGAAGCAACCTAATTATATGTTCTGTTATGTAACTAGATCTTTCTCTTTGTAGTTTAGATTTATTTTATGTGTGTGTTGCCTGCATGTATGTAATTACAACACGTGTGTATTGCCTGCAGACACCAAAATGGGACATTGGATTCCCTGTAACTGGAATTATGAGTGGTTGTTAGCCACCATATCAGTGCTGGGAACTGAATCAGGTCCTCTACAAGTAAGGTCTTTTAACCACTAAGCCATCTTTCCGGCCAGTCTTTGCATTTACAAAAATGGATGTGTGTAAGGGGCTAGAGAGATGGCTCAAAAGTTAAAAGCACCTACTGTTCTTGTAGAGGACCAGAGTTTGATTCTCATCACTCACATCAGGCTGCTCACAGCTGCTTATATCTGCCCATGCACACACACACACATACACATAAACAAAAATAAAATTATTTTTAAAACCTGATTATATGACAGTGCTCCAGTTTGCTAATTCATTTCTGGAAGGCCACAAAATGATTTTGTTTAGTCAGTTTACCTTAGTTTTTGATTTTAAGATACTTGAAGATTGCTTAAAAATTATTTCCCCTCTCCTGTCTTTTTTTTTTTTTTTTTTTTTTTCCCCTAGAAAAATGACCTCAGTAGCCCAGGTTGGTCTCAAACTCATTATGTAGCCCAGTGATGCCCTGGAACTTGTGATCCTCTTTCCTCTATCTCCGGAGGGCTGGGTTACAGACATTTACCTTCATTCCCAGTATACATAATGCTGGAGATCAAACCCAGAGTATCCTGCATGCTAGTCAAACACTATAACTGAGCCACAATCCCAGCCCTTAAATCTTAAGAGAGATACGGACTTTATAAATAAAAGGGCAAGGTGGTCATGTTTAAGGGATTGCATTTGAACAAGCAGCTTAGCTTTCGTGTTTTCTACCTAGTGGTCATTCACACAAATCATCATTTATTGTTTATATGTTTTGAATTAAACTTGCTTTTTACTTTAAATAAATAAATAAAAAGCTTCTTAAGAGCAATAATCATGCTGACTCATTTGGTAACTACCTTGCCACCAAGCCTGGTAACCTGAATTAGACTGAGGAACCACATGATGGAAGCAGAAAACTGTCTGCCACAAGATGTTCTCTGACTGCCACACATGCCAGGGCAGGTGCATGCACCCATATAAATACATAATTCTAAAGCATTCAAAACAGTTTTAAAATTAAATGTTAAAAATGCTAACATCTCACTATTATAAATAAGACACACAATTGAAGCCATCTTTTTCTAATTTTAGTACTGTTTGGCCAAGTGACTTTTGCTGCAAACTATAATTTGATTTCAAATGCAAGATGACAAAGAAAATGGACTGGGTTCACCAGTATATCCTTAGTGTTTAATTACCCATATTTAAAGCTAAATTGCTTATATTGTGCTTTGTCAGGGTCGTTCTATGTATGTCCCTAGCCATACAGCTGCAAGAGGTATTTTACCTTCGATTCTCTGCACCTTGGTTTCTATTACTATAATATGACTTTCAGTTCTGATGTATCCTAAGGGGGTAGGTACTCACCCTGTTGTATTTAGCATGCTGTGGGTATCTGGATAGTTTAGTGTTTTGTTTGTTTGTTGTTGTTGTTGTTTGGGGGGGTTGGTTGGTTGGTTGGTTGGTTTTGGCTTTAGTTTTGGGTTTTATTTTTTGAGACAGGATTTCTCTGTGTAGCTTTGTAGACCAGAACTCACAGAGATCTGCCTGCCTCTGCTTCCCAAGTGCTAGGATTAAAGACATGCACCACTACTGCCAGCCTATAGTCTAGTTTTTAATATCATGCTTCTTGTAATAATTAGGAGGTTGTCTAGCCCATACCTGCTTTCTTTCCAGCTAGTTAGTTAAGGCCCAGAGAGATAAAAATGGCTTGTCTGGCATCACCTACCCAGCCTTGGCACACTGAATGTGTTCTTTGCATGTGCTATGTGGAGCCACATAGATTACATGCAAACCAGCTCTCTATGCACCTCTTTATTTACATTTGTGCATTTGGAGCTCTGCTTTTGACTCTAATTTTTAACTTGTCTAAATGTTTAGAAGTCTTCTAAACAGTCCCGGAAATCTCCAGGAGATGAAGATGATAAAGACTGCAAAGAAGAGGAAAACAAAAGCAGCTCTGAGGGTGGAGATGCCGGCAATGACACAAGAAACACGACTTCAGACTTGCAGAAAGCCGGTGAAGGGGTGAGGATGTGCTGATGATTTCCTTATCCCCTGTTAACCTAGAAGACATTTCTCTTTGGACTCAGTGTCCATGGCTTAGCATTGGTAGACATGCAGTTTGTTACATCCATTCACAAAGCCTGAATGAATGGCCAGATGTTTAGAGTCTGAGGACATAAGAGCCATGTGCAAATTATACCTTCCTGGAAAATTGGAGCTCTGAATATTTATTTTTCAAACTACTTTAGCAACTTCTGAGTATTTTAAAAGTAGTTTGCAAATTATTGAAGTTGAAATTTACTAGTTCTGTTTCTTTTATCACAAAGTCAGTGGCATATTCAAAATAGAATATAAATATCCAAGCTGTATTTGAATACTGATAATTAAAAGACCTATAGAAACAGATTTACTTACTTTGACTCTTGTTAACTTCTGTTGACTTTAGCATTAAAGACAAGTCCACATTTGTAAAAGTGGTAGTAAAGGTAGTTTGTGCACCTGGGCATTTCCCAAACATCTTTCTCTCTAGACCAGTTGTCTTCAAATAATAACCTATGAGGACTTAGCACTTACTTGCCCAACAGGGTTGACTCCAAGCACAGCAATGGATGAGGGATGAAACCTGTGAAGTACACTGCTACTTCTCTATTAAACTCTTGATTTTATTTTGTTCTTACCTGTTCATATCAGTCCTGGTTGCCTCTCAGCATTTTCTTTCTTCGTCTCAGGTATCTGTCATTACCCTGGAAGTACACTTTTAGTTGTTCTCTTACTCCTGTCACTCAGGATATCCTTCCTCAACTTCCTTCTCCCTCCTCTTATTTTTTGAGGCAGGGTATTGGCTGTGTAAGTACTCACTGTGTAGCTCAGGCTGGCCTCAAACTCATGGCACTCATGCTTCAACCTCTTGAGTGCTTGGTCTGCAGGGTGTATCACCACACCGTCTCCTTCTCTTGCAGCATTTAATACCATTAGACACTTTCTCCTCCTGACTCTCTTCCCAGTCACCATTCTTTTTGCTCCCTCTGTCTCCCAGAGCTCTCCTTCAGACTGCCATGGTATGCTTCCTTAAAAATCCCCTCATCCACCGGGCATGCACATGCCTCTAATCCCAGCACTTGGGAGGCAGAGGCAGGCATGGAGGCCAAGTGGTCCATGGAGTGAATTTCAGAACAGCCAGGGCTACACAGAGAAAAGCTGTCTCAAAAACAAGACAAAAGTTCCTGTTTTTATTTTTATCAACATTGTTCAATTTGGCTTCTTTATGAATATTTTTTAGTGATGATATTTACTCACTACTGTGCTTTTCAAGGTTCATTAATTTACCTATATATAGTAGCAGGGTTTTTTTTTTTTTAGTTAATAAAAGTTATTACACAGGGGTGGGGGGATGTCACAGCTGGCCAGGGTGCATGTATAGAGGTCCCAGAACAACAGTCAGGAATCCATACTTGCACACGAATCCTGGGGATCCAGCTCAAATCTTGCACATATATGAAAGTACCTTTATTCACCAAACCTTTTTGCCAGCCCTTATTCATTTTTCAATGCTGTATAATGCTCACTTTATGTAGCATATATAATGCTATGTGAATATGCCACAATTTGTATATTCAATCTACTATTAATGGGTATTTGGGCTATTTCCAGCTTTGGGCAGTTTAGAACTATTTTCCAAAAGCACTTTGTCTCCTAGTGTACATGCTCAAGTCTTCTTATACAACTAGAACCAAAGATGCTGAAGTATAAGTTTATGGCTTTCATTTTACCAAGTAACTTTCTGGAGGAGTTGGCCAGTTTATGCTCAGACCAAGAGTGTATTAAAGCTCCCAGAGTTAACTTGGTGTCATCTGACTTTGACTTTTGACAATATGTTGGTGTAAAATAATTATTACAGTATGAATTTATAATGCAGTATGATCAGTGATAAGTTTCTTTTTGTGTTTATCAAATGGACATGTTTCTTCTTCATGATACCCATTTCCAGGGTTTTGCCTGTTTTCCCATTAGTCTTTTTCTTACTTGTTTATTGGACTTTGCTTATGCTATACAATACTGTTTCATGTTTGTGTCTTACATGTTCACTTTCTTTTGCTTTAAAAAAAAATACTTCCTTGATTTTATTTAGTCAGCTGTTGCTATTTTCTGTCTTTGAGCATAACCATTTTAACCATCTTATTGAAATCATCTGTCACATAGCAGGAGTTTCTGCCTGGGCTCTCTTATGTTCCTTTGGTCAATTACCCACTCTTAATTATAGTAGCTTTCTAATGAGTCATAGTATTTCATAAAGCTAATAGCCTAATATTAAACTTATTTTTAAATATCTAATAGTTATTAACTGGGATAGAATGCCAAAGGACATTTTTTTCTTAATACAGTAATCTTTAAGAATGATTTAATAGATGGATCATCAAAGGAAAGTTGCTGGAGCAGTGTTCTTTAAAAGACAAAAAAAGCACGAGAAGAGTACATATCGTGAGGGATTATTAGGGCACAGATACAGAGAAGTAGGTACTTGGGAGGAGAGCTCATAAAAATATTCTTGTGTGATTGCTTCTGTTTTGTAAGGAAACAAGGTCATCATTTGAGAGAGTGCAAGAAAAAGTGCTGAAGTTTCACAAAAGAGGAAGAGGTTTAAAATAGTCACTTAGAAGAATAGGACAGTGTATGGATGTTAGAAATGAAGGTGATTGTTAAGGCAGTGGGACCAACTTGGGGCTGGTGGGCATAAATTTGAATTAAGCAGTAGGAATGATTGCTCCAGGCAAATAGAGCTGTGTAGGCACACAGAGGCCAGAAAATTCATTTCAGCTGGAGTACAGTACAGGAAAGAAGTTGAGGCCCAGGAGCTTGGGGTGGGGAGTAACTATAGAATCTAAAATATGTTATTATTGATTGAATTTTTTTTTTTTTTTTTTTTTTTTTTTGGTGTTCAGTTTTTGCAATTTCTCATACATTCTAGATACTAACCCCCTTGGAAATGTGTAGTTGGCCAAGGTTTTTTCCCACTATGGGTTGTCTTTCCACCTTTTTGTTTTATATGATCCAGTTTATCATTCCTTGGTATTATTTCTTATGATATTGAAGCCTTTAGAAAGTTATAGCCTGTGTCTTGAAATACTCTACTTGTTTTTCTTCAGTTTTTTTAGGTTAAGCATTTCATACATACATATAATGTGTTTTGATCAAACACACTTCCTATTTCCTCCCCTCCAGTTCCTCCTCTATTCCTTAACACCCCTTTCTCCTCTCAACTTTATATGTTTTTTTTCTCTAACATTTTCAAATTACTAGGTCTTATATAAAATTCTTTGATCCCATTTTGTATTTATTTTTATACAGAGTGAGTTATATATTTAGTTTCACTCTTCTATAGGTATATATCCAGTTTTCCTAGAACCATTTATTTGAAAAGGCAGTTTCCTCCTAATATATGTTTAGACAAAAATAAAAATTGGATGACTGTGTCTGTGTGGCTTTATTTCCTGGTCCTCTACTCTATATTCCATTGGACTTCATATCTGTTTTTGTGCTGATACTATGCAATTTGTGAGGCTCTGTGGTATAGTTTGAGATCAGGTATTTTGAAACCTCCAGCATTATTCTTTCTATTTAGGATCACTGTGGCTTGTGGGGGTCTTTTTCATTTCCATCTGTATTTTAGGATTTTTTTTTTTTTATTTCATTGAACGATGTCTTTGGGGTTTTGATAGGAATTGTATTGAATATGTATAACACTTTCAGTAATGCAACCATTTTCATAATAGTAATTCTGCCAGTCCATGAGCTTGGAACCCCTTCAGTCTCCTGATTTCCAGTTTCTTTCTTCAGTATCTTAAAGCTTTCTTTGTGAAGGTCTCCCACCTCCTTGGTTAGATCTATTTCTGGGCATTTTACTTTTCATGGAACTATTTCAAATAAGTGGCTTTCTGTGATCCTCAGCAAACTCATGAGGGTATAGCAAGTTTTCTGATTTCTATATGTTGTTTTTGCATCCTGCTACTTAATGTTTATCTGGTCTAAGGACTTTCTGGTGAAATCTTTGAGATCTTTGAATGTAGGATTGTCAGCTGCATATAGGGATGATTTCTTCCCTCCCTATTTTCAGCCCTTTTATTTCTTATCTTATAAGTAGTAGTGTCCTAAAAGGCACTTACATTTGGAATCTGTCTAGTTTCATTCTATTGTTATGATAAAACACTGGCCAAAAACAACTTGAGGAGGAGAGGGTTTATTTGGCTTACATTTCAAGTCACAATTCATCTTTGAAGGAGGTTAGGGCAGGAGCTCAAGCAAGGCAGGGGCTTGAAGAGGAAGCCATGAAGGAATGCTGTTTGTTGGCTCACAGACTGTCTTTCTCACTGATTTGTAGTCAGCTAGCTCCATGTACATCCCAGGACCACCTGCCTAGGGATGGTGCTGGCCACTGTAGGCTAGACCCTCCCACATCAATCATCAGTAAAGACAGTTGCTCTGGAACATGGCCACAATCTGATCTGCGTAGTCTCTCAGTTGAGACCTCTGAGATGATTCTAGGCTGTGTCAAGTTGACAGCTGGTGCTGACAAGGATGGGATCTGAACTATTCACGTTTTGGTTCAATACAATCCCTTAGACTATTTGGACCTCGCACAGTTTTTTCTTGTTTAGAAATACTGGTTTCTACTTCCTCATGCTGATCTGTTTAGTGTATTTTAATCATGTCTCTGAATATCACTGTCTTTTTAGAAGTCTTTAAATGTCAAGAAGCTGTTATATGGAGCATTTAAAATTATAATTTTCACTTAAATAATCAAATTTTATCACTGGCAACAAATACTGTATTTTTTCCTATAAATTGGTAAGTCACTATATTTTTACAAAGTGACCATTATTAAAGCTTTTTATTAGTGTATAATAACTACACAGATTCATTGGGAAGTTTTTATTCATGCATACCATTATTATATTTACCCAGGCCTGGTTCTTGTCCCCTCCCACCTCCAGCTTATCCCTTTCCTACTATAAATCTAGAATCTATGGGGTTTTAAAAAATAATTTATTTAAATTTATTTTGTTGCATTGGTGTGAAGGATTCAGGTACCCTGGAACTGGAAATAGTTGAGAGCTGCCATGTGGATGCTAGGAATTGAACTCAGGTCCTCTGGAAGAGCAGCCAGTTCTCTTAACTGCTGAGCCATCTCTCTAGCCCCCTAGAATCTATGATTTTTTTTTTAAAAGCCTTATTTGCCTTTGTTTTTGTTTGTGTGTTTTGTTTGTTTTTCGAGACAGGGTTTTTCTGTATAACAGTCCTAGCTGTCCTGGAACTAGCTCTGTAGACCAAGCTGGTCTCAATCTCACAGAGATGTTCCTGCCTCTGCCTCCTGAGAACTGGGATTAAAGGTGTGTGCCACCACTGCCCAGACAGATATCCAAATCTTAACATCAGTTTTTTTTGTTTGTTTGTTTGTTTGTTTTGTTTTTTTGTTTTCACATAAAAATGGTACTCTGTGAAAAAGTCCTTTTGGCTTCTGCCTGACATATTTTGGTTATATGTTAGCTTTGCTGCCCCATAAAACCTTTCAGTGTGCCTTACATCAAAATGCCTCAAGGTGGAATCTGATTGGATCCTCCAGATGTCAGTAACATAGCCATGCAAGACATAAAAGGTGACACCACAAAGCATGAGCACCACATTGGCTCTTTAGGTAGAGGAAATATCTATCAGGCCTGGCAAATACCCAGAGTCCTGTGTCCAGTATAGACACTATTCTGAATTAGAATTGAATAGAAGTGAGTTCAGAAGTTATCATAGACATTTGAAAGTCTCTTCAGTGCATTGACAGTACTTTGATACTACCATTGGATCTGCTTCAAAATATTCTTTAATATGAGTTGATCGGCTAAATTAATTTCCTACCACATAAATATAACGTTTATTACCTTTCACATTATATTAATAAAATTTACTGTTGACGGTTTCTTTGGTTGATTAACAATTTTTCATTATTTGGGTGTCTTCCTCCTTCCAAAGGAAGAGAGTCTTCCAGAGTATCTGTGAGTATAATCATGTCTAGTATCTTCATTTATTAATAAATAAATTACCAGGCATTGAATTTTTCAGATTCACATGTTGTAAATATGATTTTTTTTTTTTTAAAAAAAAAAAGTAAAGATCCACAAGCTTCCTTGTTTGGGGTAGGGACAAAGAAAGCTAAGAAGTCTATCTCTGTCCTCTGGGGAATTGGTAAGCCTGAAATCTCCTCCCCTTGGGAAGGTTCTATAGTGATTTGATGGGATGAGTATGCAGGCTTTGGTTAGGTGGGAATATCCACATGCACGTGTGTTGACTGAGTTATTTATGAAGTAACAAGCTGTTTTAGAGAAAAAAATATTTAAGGTCTGAGTTCCCTTTTTGTCCGTCCCATGAGAACTAGAAGTGATTAATATTTAGGTTAATGAGATAGAAAATAAAGATATCATCTCCTTGGGGAAATATAATCTGACACAATTTAAAGTGGGATTCAAATTTAAATGGAATTCTTGGGTCTATAAGAGGGCTCAGTGGATAAAGTTACTTGCCACCAAGCCTGAGGACCTGAGTCTTGATCCCAGAATCCCCATGCTAGGAGAGAACCTACTCCTGTAAGTTGTCACCTGACCTTCATGTGTGCACTATAGCATGCACACACACATAAAATAGACATATTCAAAAACAGAATATAATGCTACATTAAAACTTTAATTCTTTTAAACAACAGGAATATTTATCTTAGTCACATATATGCCGTATAAATTTTAAAAGATATCTAGACTTTGTTTCATCTGATGTTAACTTTTGTACTTTGTTATGCCTTGTGTGCCACATGGAACTAAAGTATTTTGGGTGATCTGTGCACCGTGTGATTTTCGGGTTTATACAGCTTACCTTTCTTTCTAACAGTGCAGTCCTACAGCACAAATTACATTTATTTTTAGTGTCTGTGTAGACCCAAAGCAAACATTTCCTTAAGTGGCACAGCATGCACACCACTACACATTCCTCCCTACCAGAGAGTAGACAGTTTACTTCTGTTTTGTTTTTCGAGACAGAGTTATTTCTCTGTGTAGCCTTGACTGTCCTGGAACTCACTCTGTAGATCAGGCTGCCCTGGAACACAGAGATCCACCTGTTCCTCCCAAGAGCTGGGATCAAAGGCTGGCACCACCATTTCTGGCTGACAAAGTTTGCTCTTTAGGGTTTTTGCTTGTTTGTTATAACAGAACACTAAAAATAGCATTTAACTTTTGTCAGGTAAAAAGCAAAGCCTCTGAAGACATTTTTGCTAAGTATTGCTGCCATCATAATGCTGATGCTGGTTCAAACCTTGCAAAAAATAATGCTGTTCCCCAAAGGTGTGGATAGCTTCCCTCCTTAGTATCCTAGCTCATCTAAGGCTTGTTCTATTTGCTTTTTTACAGACCTAACTACCATAATGAATGCTGCATATTGAGAGAAACCACAAGAAGGTTAAATGCTTGTCTAATTCTTGGATTTGATATGAACCAACACATAGTCTTTGTTGTCATTGACAGAGCCCCACCCCTTGTGTGTGTACATTATTCACGCTCCTCTCTGTTCTGTTGAAGGGGGAAAAAAAAAGACATTTTGACCTTTTTTAAGGTTATTGACTTAATTTTATGTTATTTGATTGCATGAAGTTGCCCTTAACCACTGAAAATTATCAAGATTTTTGCACAGACTTTTCCATGTCTAGGCTCCTTTTCCAAGGCAGTTCTGGTCATCAGCTTCCTGCCTTTATCCCACCATCATCAAATACTCAGTTAAATAGTAATTCATATTTTTTAGATGAGTACTCAACATAATACTTAAGGATGGGATTTTCTTTCTAATAGAACCCCCAAACCAACTCCTAGATACATATTGTTGGTATGCTGGAGGTAAAATTAAAGTCATCTTTCAACTTTAAGGCCATGTGTAAAGTTTAACTGTATTGTACAATACCTGTCCTGTATTAGAAATAGCTAGTTGAAACTTACACTTCTCAAAACTCATGTTGCTGTGTACACAAACTGAGTGTATATGTGAATCTAGTGAGTCTTTTTGTGTTATACCAAAATAAAGGAAGGGTTTATTTTTTTCCCAATGCCAATATGATTTGAGCTAATCACTCAAGCTGGTCACTTTACACTTGAAAGCTGAAATTAGCAGGAGCACCATGGGAAACCAGACAAAGCATTGACGCTTGAACATAGTAGACTTTTAGAAAAAACTTTTCTTTTGGAACTAGAATTAGAGTAGTTAACATTCATCCACAAATGATTATTATGTATACATTATTGTTGCTATTGTGATAATAGAATCTTATTTATTTTTATGCCAGCTTATACTGTGAGAACACATTAGTCAGCTTGAGTTTCATCAACTCTGTTATGCTTGTCTTTAGAACATCTTCCGTGTATGTTTGAGGTTTGTAGCTGAAAAGTTTACTGTTAAAAAAAAAACAAAAACAAAAAAAATGTATTGTTTTTACAGAATAAATTTATTGGAATGTGTACTGAGAGTAAGATTTGAGGTTGTAAACAACTGAGTTAGTGTTATTTGGCTTCATACGTGTAATGTGAAGTATCAGTGTAATTCCTATATTAAAGCAAATATTGACAGCAAGTTGACATTAGAATTAAGTGCAGGTGAGGATTTTATTTTTTCTATCTTTTTTCTTTTTAAATATTCTAGATGTTAGGTTAATTGAAAACACTGGAAAGGACAGGAGTGAGTTGACTTATGATCTGCCTGCACGTCTAAGAAAACACCAGCTCAGTGGACCCAGTGTTTACACATAACCTCATGTGCATACCCTTTTCTTTTGGTTCTTACTTTGTTGAAGAACTAATGAACGTGAAGACAGAATTTAAGAAGACCTAAAAGCCCAGTGTCTTTGGGATGATGAAAGTGATGCTGGGCTGTGAGAGTTAAATGCTATCTACCTACGCCTTCAGGGCATACTGAGGAGGCTACTATGTTTTGGGCTTGTTTCTGTCGTTTAGCAATTAATGGTTTCTCTATTGTACTTACACAGTTCCAAGTATGGGAAGCTCACTAAGAGACAGGGTGCCACATCAGGTTTTACCTCTAAAAGGTAATTTAAATATTTTATTCAAAAATAAATGAAATTCATCAAAAGAACTCTTTACTAATCACACTAAAACATGGAGAATGTAGATAACATTTTAAATTGGAATATATAACAGATGTCTTAAATAAAAAGTTCAAAATTTGTCATGAAAATGTATACATAAAATGTTTCAAATTTAATATTTGTTTTCATAAAACACCAAAAATAATTTTATTGGAAGTATACACAAACACAAGAGAAATATTACTACCCACCAATAAAACAAGTGTTCATGTAAGGCTAATAATAAAGTTGATTTGTGTCATCTTAGCTATTTAAATTCACAATAGAAGTTTTGATAGCATTTTTTAAAAATATAAGTAAGTAATATACTTTCCTTATGAAGACACTTCAAGCAACTTAAAAATGTGATGATCTGGCATTACAGTAAGGTTGTCAATGACTCATACATTTTATATGAAGAAGTTATTTCTCCAGCCTGTAATTGCTGTTTTGAGTTATTTCATATGCATAGTGAATGTGGTTAGTCACTTCTGAATAGTTTCATTTTTATGCTATTTATAGGCACTGGAGTTGTAATTTTCACACATAATATGTGCAATGTTAAGATCCATGGTCACATTCACAGAAAATTTTTGATTTATTCTTTAAATAAGCTGTTTCTCTCAACTTCGATTTCCCTTCAAAAATGAGAATATACCCATACAATACCATTATTTTCATTCACAATACATTGTAGAGAAAGAATCTACTCTCGTGAGCATCATGGGAGGAAGTGAAGTGGAGCATCGGTTCCATGTAACAGGGTCAGAGAGAACATGAGGTATATTTATTCCACCTTTTCATCTGCCTTTGTCCTTATGAAGAACTCGGGATTGTAGGTACAGCGGTAGGCCAAGAGCTGAGGAAGAACTCCATATGCTATGTTTAATGCTAAAAAAATGATTTTTGCTTCTTCAGGAACTCTGTAGACATAAGCAGTTCTAGCATGAAGGGAAGCACCAATGTGTGAAAACTGAGCCTGTTTATATTAAAACAAACAAAAGAATAAGCATGAAATCTGTTTACGTGGATTAATGATGAATTCTGGGTGACTCATTCAGACCATATGCCCTCAAAGCCTGTCTTAAAAGCAAAATACTTTCAGATAATCTAGTCTTAATACATAGTCTTTCCCTAAATTTAAGGTCATTCTTTATTTAAAAAAAAAAAAAAAAAAAAAAAAAACTATTCAGATAATGTATCCTATTTAAAGTGTGGTTTTATTATTCCAGGTGTGTGTGTGTGTGTGTGTGTGTGTGTGTTTAAACTTATCCAGTGCCCAATACCAAACAATTCTAATTTGAATTCTAGGAATACTACATGGACACTCAGCTAAGTCTTACAGATTGGATTCCAATTAAAAATGAAGTTGAGTTTAAAAGCTAAATTGTAGTTAGTATAACGAGTTACTTAGAGAGAAGCACTGGGGGGGGGGGGGAAGTGTCTCAGTGTCACTGGGCAGACTGACTACTAGAAGCCAGAGTTCAGAGTCCCATCAACTTGTAGTTTTATTTGTGTATTTGGTTTTGTGCAACTTAATAGCATTATGGTTGTTTGTAAGATACACTTGGCAATAGCTTGACTGTGGAGAGCAGTGTGATTATAAAATGGCAAATATGTACACAGGCAACCTTTTCAAGCCAAACTGAAATCTACTTAGAATCGTGAGGGGTCAGCATATTCCAAGTTTCAGAGCAGAAAGGCAAGGGCCTCTCTATTCATATACATAGACTCTATTCAGAATGTGCCTGTTGAGTTTTACTTGGCTCGTTTGTTCTTAGTACTTTTCATAAGCACAGAGAAAAACTATTAGAAAAGTAATACAGGCCATAGCAGGATTAAAAACCAAGAACTATTTTCTCAGAAAACTTGTGTTATTAAAAAATGCAAACTCCAAATCTGCTTTTTTATGTTTGGCTGAAATTCAAGATACACATGAATAAAGACTGAGGATTTAAATGTAATAAGTAGTAAATTATTGATATACTATTATCAAAGTGAAAGATAAAGAGTACGATAATCTAAAGTGGTAGAAGTAACAAGAATGAATCACTAGAAAATTTGTTTTTAATGTATTTGTTACCTTACATTTCCTACATTGATTATGCTAAATGACTGACAGATAAAAGTGCTACTTAGCATTTGATTTGACCTTGACAAGAAAAGGGCAAGCTTTTATAAACAGCATGTTTAGGAATTTGTATCAATGGCAGATATTTTAATGGGCTACAATTTATAAATTACTGATATATTCTGGATACCTCTAATATGTTTTTGCTACTCTAGAGATAAAAATTAAATCCCTGTGGTGTGTTGACAAGGACCAACAATCAGATTACCTGCATTGTCTCCAGGCACTTAGAGGGCTCTGCCCTCGGACACACCTCCCTAGGGCAGATGGCCAAAGGCCCAGCAAATGTTTGTATCTCAGGGCTACACAGACAAAAGACCTTGAGAATAAAGGGCACTTTGGAGACTGCCTTGAGGAGCTGTGGTTGTGGACAGTCTGGGAACTCTGAACAAAAACTTGGCTCCTGACACTATTTTTCTCTAGGTCGTACTTTAAATAGCTGTTTATCTGACTATATAACAGTTTCCTTCTGGACTAGAGGCCAGTTTTGAACTCTGGTTTTGTCAGATTTGTGGGTTTAGTGATTCTATCCCTACAGATTATTGTGTACATCATAAACAACCAGAAAAAATACTCCATAGTTTCCAAGAATAACATGAGCAGTTGTATGTAATTGTGTAGACAAGCCTGCCTGAAAGGTCAGTGATTCAGTGGGCCCTTTCCTGCACTAACTAGTGCAGCTAATACCTCATTTTCATGAACAGTAAGGTCATGGTAACATTTTTAAAAATTATTTGTGTCCTTAGATTAGATTGTACGCCTACTGGGCAGATACTATGTCTAATGTTTTGTGTGGCACCTATCACATTGTTAGAGTTCAATAAACGTTCAACAACAACGGTCTTGTGACTGTCAGAATACAAAAGAGTCTTTAAAGCATTTCTCTAGCCCTATAGTAGCAGGCCATTCTACTCAAAATGATTAACAAGGAGTGAAGATTGTAACAGTCCTTATCAAAGGGTATGTGTGTGTGAGAAAAGAATCCTGAGGTCAGTTGTCTGCCACTCCTAGGTGTGTTTGTAGCAGCCAACTGAGTGGGCTCCCACAGTAGCTTCCTCTAGTGTTAAGTGCTCAGGATTCTGGTACAAGGAAAACCGTATCACCTCAAGAGGCTTCCTTCCCCAGACACATACTGGTAAGGAGTGCCCAGCACACTTGCTTCCCTACAAGGCCTGAGGAACTCAGCCAGTAAGTGCAGTGCTGCTGAATTCTGCATCTCAGTTATAACTGCAGTATTCAATGATGTGGCTGAGGTCCCTAGTCATTTTCCTTCAACTTAATTCTAAGTTTTCTACCTTGCAGAAATAAGAGATAACTGTTTTTTGGTCAGATTGAATGTTTAGAATGTAAAATGAGATAATGAAAGTAAGCAAAGGCTAAATTGTAATAGTTCCTTTTCTTGACAGAGAAAACTGGAAAAGGATGATCCTATCCTCCCTAATCACAATCCTGGCTCTAAAAAGAAGTGAGTCTTACATGTCCACATGAACTTTAGAGGGCAGAACCTCTAGGTATTGGGACAAAGCCCTATTTTAGCCCCTATATTACAAGTAGATAATCCAGAACCGTGTTATTTTAAGGTTTTCTGAGTAACAGTGTAGAAGATTATCACACTGACTCTAGAGCACATGGATACATTGGGTTATTGCTCCACCACAAGCTAGGTGACTGGGCCCAGCTAGGTAGAGGTGTGGGTAGACATATAATACTAAATACTAAATGCCTGCTCATGATCAGGCACTCTGTTGATAACCTGGGTTCCTTGTTATTAGATCCCCTTGTTGACCTTTTAACTCCTCTATCAAAGGATAAGCATGTGAGAAAGTGAAGG